CCTTCCGCTTCCGCCGGGAGCGCGCCGCGGGCCGGGACAGCGCGGGGGCCCGGCGGCTTCAAATGTGAAAGTCCAGCAGTGAGGGCTGAGCTGCCCTCACGGCTCTGCCCCCGGCGGCGCTCCCCGGAACTCATCGGGCTCCCTCACCGCGTTTGCCCCGCTGATCTTTCGTCCCGGCCCGGTTCCCGTCGGGAAGCTCAGGCAGCCCAGCCTGGCCGCTCCCGCCGAGCCGTGAAGTGATAAATGCCATGGGATGCACCACACATGGCGGAAAGCGACAAAAGACCCCGGCCCATCAATTCCGCAAGAAGCGTTTGCATCTCCCCGACTGCTGTTTGTCGTGGCCTCTCGAAGCTATTTCTACTTGTAGGAAGACCGAATATACCCAGTTCTATTTGCAGCCCTAAATAACAGGAATCCAGGGAAAGTGAAAGGCCGGTTGCAGTCTTTTTTGCTTCAGCTTTTGCGCGCTGAGGTGCATAAAAAAGTGTCACTTTCCGAGAATGCTGGGGCTCCTCTCCTTGCAGATGGCCAGGAATTCATCTCCTTGTTTGCTCGGGGTCGCAGTGAGATTAAAGCAGGCCCATTCCGCTGAGTGCTTTCACTGCTGGGCAGGGACAGCCCTGCTGCTGGTAAGTCAAAGCCTTCTGCTGGAGCAGACTTTGGCCTGGAATCGAGAATCAACTGTGCACCCAATCTTAAACACAACTAAAAACAGATAATCGGTTTTGACTTTTACTCCAGGCTTCCATCTTTACAAGCAATTTTTAAACATTCAGAACTTAGAGTAAGATTAGATGAGAAATAAGGCAATAGATACCTCTGGTGGGGCTTTGAAGAGCCTGTTACTTATTTCCAGAAAGATAAATCTGCTGCAATCTCTCTTTGCTGTTCTGACTTGAACTGCTCAGGAGGTTTAAAGGCACAAAGGTCAATTAATCTCTTGGGCATGCACCAGATTTTTCTGTTGCACAGCCTATTTTGACAAAATAAAGTGGGAAAAAAAATGCAAGGACAGGACAACAATTATAAGTAATAGGAAGCAGGAAATGAAAGAATAAAGGGGGAGGAATCACTGCTGAGTTTGATTTATTTTTATGAAGACCCTGCCAATCACAAATCCATTTGAAAATCCACAATCTTGAAGCAAAAGAAGATGCTTGAATTATAAAGCTCACATAGGAAAACTTTAACAAACTTCAGCCTCCAGTAATGTAATAGGGAGTAAAAGAGAAAAAGTAAGGAAGACAAAAACATTTTGTTATCAAAAGGCAATGGTTATCCAAACATACAGTAATAGCTTGCTAATTAATAAATATATATATATGCAGAGAAGAGGTAATAAAAGGCTATTGACCTAGGAATACAGTCTTCACTTGATTCAAAAAAGGAAAGTTAATATGTGCATTGTATAATTAATGACATGCAGTTGTTTTCATTAAAATGATTGTGTACCAGCTGCTTGTGCATAAATGCCCCATGGAACTTGTCAGTTGTTGACTGTCAGCTGACTTTCTGCATACATTAAATTAAATTGTCCCCACATGGGCAGGATTTGACTCTGACTGTGCCTCTGGTGGTACCATGTGTTTGTAGGAGGTTTGGTATATTCAGAACTCAGTGGGCTTTTGGCACGTGTAGTGATGAACTCCACAGGGAATGTGTGGGGGTGTCCCAAGGCTTTTGAGGGTATGCAGGGACTCTGTGCTCCAGAGGCATGCCAGTGTTGCCAAATCAATTACTATTCCAACTCAGTTTATCTTACTCTGGAAATCTTTGATACTCTTACGCAAAACCATTCTCAAATGCATGGAAACCCAAATGTGTGGTAATATTCTGAAACAGGTCCACTTTCTTTGCCTTTCTTTTTACAAACAGCAGGGTGTTGGGTTTTCACATCAGGGGCCCATTCCCAACCAAGATACATGGGAGATACTGTAATCAAAATGATGGATGTGAAAGCTAGCTTGGCTCCCAGTTTGGGTAGTTACAGTGTTCTGGCACTGCAGGGCCTGCCAGCTCCTCTTTGTTGATGGATGAAGTACTTATTGTGTCCCTGTCTGTGTGGATGGATGCAGAGAGGCCTGCACTGGGTTCTGATGCTCCATGCTAATCAGGTACAAGCTGATCCTGTCTGGCAGCTATTTTAGCAGAACACGACATGCTGCTGTGTGGAGAAGCGAGGTGGAGAGAGAACTCCATCCTTACACCACCTGTGGGGGTAGACATGCCCTTTCTTTCCATAGAAAGCATAATTGTTTTAATCTAAGTAGCATCTTGCATCTAAAGATTGAGAAAGGCTACAGAAACCCAGGTGCTCACTGAACAAGGAGTGGCCCTGACAACTTATTATTCCAAAACCTCCAAAACCTGATGTCTGGAAAGACAAGCTCAGAAATTAATCAAAAGTAATGAGGCCATGGACATATGAATGGAAAGGCAATGCTTACAGCACAAACCTGGAACAACCTGCAGACCATACTGGGTATATTGTGCATCTGAAAGTATGAGAAATTAGAATAACAACCATTAAAAGAGTCGGAAACCATGAGAAAGTCATTACTGCTTTGTCAGTTGTTAAACATGCCAGAATTGCAGTGGGACTACATTGTTCTGGAGGTTTTGGTTAGGACTGCCTGACCTTTCAGGGGTTAATCTGTTTACAGGTTCATTGGCCTGAGGTGATGGGGAGGTACACACCTGTCTCAATATAGAGACCTCAATTCTTATGACAACACTGATGTTAAGAAAGTAGCAAATTTTTTCCTGTAAAAGATTAAGCGTGCTATAGCAATAGAAATAGAAGTAGGTAAATGAGTGCAGTTTTTTTCTTGAGTACATATATGCATGTTATTTTCTTTCATTATTTAAGGATTAATTTAATCTGATCCCAAAATGAGTCATCTCTGAGTGAACCAGAGCCATAGCAACACTATGCAGTGGTCTTGATTGTAAACGTTTAAAGTTTGTTAATCCTTTGGTATTTTCTTCTCATTACAATTTGTAATCAAGTTTTAACAGGTATAAGAAACACAACTGTAAACTGAAAAACAGATGAGTAAAAATCAGTTGGTGAACACATATCACTTTCAACAGAAGCATTTTTTTTCCTTGATATGGCTTAATGACTTTTAGTATTCATTATTTAATAAAGCTTTCACATTTAAATTCAGAATTTGGCCCTTAAAAAAGTACCACACTGCTTGTTCACTCTTGGATTCAAAGACAATGCTTATGAGGAATCACTGCGGTTAAACGTTCCCCAGAGCAGCTTCACTACTGAATGATGCAAAATTCCCTGAAGTAACTATCTTCCAAGGGCTTGGATCCTTCCACTGAAGCTCAACAATTAGACTTTAAACTTCGTTTTCATCTTTCTTTTGCTGACTTGCATGACTTGGATCGGTGTTCCCACTGATGGAGAATAATCAGTGAAAGCCTTGGGAATGAGAAACAGGGGGTGGGGGCAGTGGGTAGTGCAGAGAGAGAGGATGGAGATTTGACACCGCACCTCTGTAACACTGCGAACACACATTGCTCTGTTCGTCAGAGGTTTCGTTTTACTTCTGTCAATGGCCAACACTTAATTCTCTTGAATGGCACGCCAGTCATCCCCGGCTCTCCCTCAAAGTCCAGCGTACCCTCTGAGGACTTCAAATAACCACAGCTCGGCTAATTAAGGCACTAAAAATGCAACGGCTTCTTGCACCAAGCCCATCCATCGTTTATAACCGAGGCACTGGGTATTTCCACGGCACCTGCCGGGAGTGTCTCCAGAGAGCGATGCGCGCTCCCCCGCGCTCCGGCGGCCCCGGATCTGCCAAGTCATGCTGCCCTTGCAGGCGCTGCCGCCCTGCCC